GTTCTAATCTTATATTTCTGTGGCTGCTGTTACCTTATATAAGTACACCTCTAAATTGAAGTCTAAAGCCCATTTACAATACAGCTGTATATCTCTCATTTGTTACACATTTTAGACACTGACATTTTGTAATTTCAAAATATATGCAGTGATGTTTTCTTAATCAGCATCAAGCTCACCCACTGTTAAGCGCTCCGAGATGCTACCGCTATGAAGGGCACGATATAAATGCAATTTGTTGCTGTTATATCAGATCACAGCATGGAGTAAAATGGTGTCAGAATGCAGTTCACTATTCACTAACATTAATAAAAGTGAAAACAGACTTAAATTCATGTTGGTGCCAGGATTTTGAGGTGTGGTCAGCCTGTTGGAACTCTTGACATTGGTACATTAGGAAAGATTATTATAGCACTTTTGTTTCTGGCAACTCTTGTGTCTGGCAGAGTGCCAACTCCCAACACACAATTGGCTTTGTTTTATTGGCTATCTTCCCATTTGAACTGGGCACATTGGTATCAATGCATGTGGCTTAAGGTGGCCTCAATTTGTTGTACTGCACAATTCCCACGGGCTTTTTTTATTGGTCACAAGGCTGTCAGAATATTGAGTGGTTTGGGCATCTCAACTCATGAAAATTTTCCCTAGTTTTGTCGATAGGCTTCATTGAGTTATTTGATACTTATTGCTGGTGTCTTAAAGCTAGGGAGAAGAATCAAATAGGATTCCTGCTCTTGCTTGCTATCATTTCCACACACTGGAAAATACATTGGTGTGAATATGTTTGGTGAGGACTTCCCTGCAAACTAACACACTGGGAAGATTCACAAATGAAATATGACCATTTTAGAAAGTTACACAAGGTTGCTGTGGAACCATACTCTTATGAGACACTCCTTAAAGAAAAAATTATAATTATTTGAAAGTTTGTGTAAGTTGTAGAGGAAATCTGTTACTCTCTCCCCAAAAAGGCTGTAGAAGCTGCATCCATTCAAATTTTCTTTCAAAGACTGAGGTGGATAGATATTTGTTAGGTATGGTATCAAGGGATATGGGGCGAGGACAGGTACTTGGAGTTGAGATACAGATCAGCCATGATCTTATAGAGGGGATCAAGGTGCTGAATGGCCTACTCCTGTTTTGAAGTTGTTGCTTTAAGTATTGTACATGGCACAATTAGCTCACTTTTTCAAATAGATTGCTGAGTTGTATCGATACTGGAACTGTCTTGGCCAGAGACCTCCAATTTGCACATCTATGGGCCATTTTTGCACTGTGATAAAATATACCCAGTAGGGTTACAAAGATTAGCCATACCTCATCCACTTTTAAAAGCCAGAGCATATTGTGTTCATTAAATTATACTATGTTATATTTATAGCACCAAACAGGTTGGACTATCTCAAAATTCTCCACCTCCCCATGACTATTTATGCACCTAAAGTAATTAATTAGATTGCCAAGGCTAAGTCAAATAGAGTTGGTGGACTGGCAAGTAAGACTAGCAGGTAAAACGACTCATGAGCAATGGGAGATCTTCAAAGATATGATAGCTCAAGGTCTAAATAGATATATTCCCACAAAAGGGAAATGTGCAACAACCAAGCCAGCCTGGATGACCAGGGATATTCTGTCTAGGATGAAAAAGATGGCGGCGTATGACAATTGGAAGATGCAAGATACTGAGGATAGCAAAGCGCATTATAGAGAATGCAGGAGTGATCTTAAAAGAGTGATAAGACAGGCTAAAAGATCGCATGAGAAGAGGTTAGCGGGTAACATAAAGGGGAATCCTAAAATATTTTACAAGCACATAAAGGAAAAAAGGTTAGTTAAAGGTAGGGTGGGGCCAATCAAAGACAATGACGGCAATCTTGTTGTGGAGGCAGAGGGCGTGGCTGATGTACTGAACGAGTACTTTGCATCTGTCTTCACAACGGAAATGGATGCCCCAAATGCTGCAGTATTGGATGAGAGGGTAGAGGAAATAGATCAGATTACTATAGACAGAGAGGAAGTTCTGAAAAGATTGACTGGGCTCAAAATTGATAAGTCACCAGGACCAGATGGGTTTCACCCAAGGTTGCTGTGGGAGATACGGGTTCAAATAGCGGAGGCTTTGGCCATTATATTTCAATCTTCATTGGACACAGGAGTGGTGCCAAGAGACTGGAGAGTGGCTAATGTTACCCCTCTCTACAAAAAGGGGCAGAAAGACAAACCCGGAAATTACAGGCCAGTCAGCCTAACTTCGGTAATAGGAAAACTACTGGAGACCATAATCCGGGACAGAATAAATCTCTACTTAGAGGAACATGAGGTAATTAGAGACAGCCAACATGGATTTGTTAAAGGCAAATCTTGCCTAACAAATCTAATAGAATTTTTTGAAGAGGTGACTGCGAGGGTTGATGAGGGAAATGCGGTGGATGTTATTTACATGGATTTCAAAAAGGCTTTTGACACAGTACCGCATAAGAGATTAATAAAAAAATTAGAGGCCCACGGTATTAAGGGGACAGTGGCAGTTTGGATTAAGAACTGGCTGAGTGACAGAAAGCAGAGGGTGGTGGTTAATGGGTGTTTCTCGAAATGGAAGGAGGTGTGCAGCGGTGTCCCCCAGGGATCGGTATTGGGACCACTGCTCTTTCTAATATATATTAATGATCTGGACTTGGGCATAGAGAGCACTATTTCCAAGTTTGCAGATGATACAAAGTTAGGTAGGGTAGTAAATAGTGAGGAGGACTGTAACCAACTGCAAGCAGACATACACAGAATGGTGGAATGGGCTGACATGTGGCAGATGGATTTCAATGTGGATAAGTGTGAGGTGATACACTTAGGTAGGATAAATGATAGGAGGCAATATAGACTTGGGAGCTCAATCTTAAGGGGGGTGAACGTACAGAGAGATCTGGGTGTTCAAGTAAGCGAATCATTAAAGGTAGCGGGGCAGGTAGATAAGGCAGTAAAAAAGGCATTTGGTGTACTGAGCTTTATTAGTAGGGGCATAGAGTATAAGAGTAGGGGTTATGGTTAATCTATACAAAACACTGGTTAGGCCTCAGCTGGAGTACTGTGTCCATTTCTGGGCACCTTACTTCGGGAAGGACATTAAGGCACTGGAAAGGGTGCAGAGGAGATTCACGAGAATGATACCATGAATGGGGAACCTTAGCTATGAGGACAGGCTGGAGAAGTTAGGACGTTTCCCATTAGAGCAGAGAAGGTTTCGCGGGGACCTGATAGAGGTCTTCAAGACCATGAAAGGTTTCGACAGGCGAGATAAGGAAAAGCTGTTTCCGCTGGTAGGTGTGTCTGTGACCCGTGGTCACAGTCTTAAGATATCTACCAAAAGAAGCAGAGGGGAGGTTAGAAGAAATGTTTTCACTCAGCGAGTTGTTCGAATTTGGAATGATCTGCCTGAAAGGGTAGTGAAGTCCGATCGATAACAGCTTTTAAGAGAGAACTGGATAGGTATCTGGGGAAGACGGGTTTGCAGGGTTATGGGGAGAAAGCTGGTGATTGGGGTTTGTGAAAGTGACTTGCTGTCAAAGAGCCGGCATAGACTCGATGGGCCAAATGGCCTCCTTCTGTGCCGTAACATTCTATGAATCTATGAAATCTATATTACAATTCAGCAAGTTTAGAGGTATTGCTATCCTGTAATTTGGGGAATCTAAAATGAATAAATTTGGGTCCCAATTCAATGAGATCCAAGCATAAATGTGGAAACTGAAATTACATTGTAGAGAAAACAAAGGCTTCCAATTTTTGATCTTGACCATCAGAATTTGTGCACAAGTAGGGAAACTAAGGAGCTATGTATTGCAATACAAGCTGAACCAACAGATGTTGCCTTGAAACCAACCTCCAACATCACTACATCGGAATAGGATATCACAAGTCCAGGGGAGGACCAGTTTCTCACTTACCAAATCAGATTAATCGAACCACTTGTGTAAATGAGAGAAAGCAGTTCAACTGGCATTGACAGATACAAATTTCTACAGGCTAAATTTAAAACCACATCCTTCCTACATTTAAGTCAAAAATCAAAAATCCATTCATTAACTTTGCAGCCTTCAATCACTGCAGAATACACAAAACACAGTTCACTAGGCCAGCATTTTCAAACAAGCAATGCTTTCCTTCAACATACAATAGTTCCTGTAACTTTCCCGCTTATTTGCACCTTCAGGACTTTGAGCTCACAATGTAATGTTCCAGCGCAGTGCTCGGGGGAGCGCTGTTCAGGGTGGACATTAAAGGTCTCCCTTCAAAAATAACGATGTGGTCACTCAATCCACAACTGTTTGTGGGACGCTGCTGTGTGCAATTGGCTACTTGCATTTCGCCCACAGCATTCACTACTTTACAATATAGCCTGTAAAAGGCTTTGAGATGTCTCGAAGAAGTGATAAAGTGCTATATCAAATACAAGGTTTATTATTATTATAAGCCACTTTATTCCAGGATGTGATGTCACAAAAGGTTTTTTATTACATTTGTCTGAATGTTTCAAAGATGGATTGGTTGTGTTTTAGTTTATTCTTCCTGACGTGAAAGGCGCTCTATAAATGGAATCTTGTTGTTGTTCTGCATCTTCTATTTGGTTGACCTCTAAAGAAATGATGAACAAGTAGGAAATTTAACATTTTTGCCCAGAAATAAAAATCAGGCATTTGGACAAGTTCTACATCCGAAAGTTTCATTATGGGTGGTCTAGCCACTAATGTACAATGAAAAAGTCTTAATCCCTGCTATATGTGGAGTTAACTATTTTGTGCATTGATTTGAGTCTTATACTATATACACAAGGATCCTATAAATAGTCCATTTATAGAAAAATCCCTTTCAACAAAGTGAGTCGTAATAATAATTGTTGCATTTGTTATAGCACCTTATCACATAGTTGACTTTTGAATTGTTGCCATGAGTAGTCATAGCATTACCACATATAGCTCCAGCTAACAAACCAAATAGTACATTTTTGTAGCTTATTTATTCTTTAATAATCTTTTCCCTCAAAAGTAAGATGTCAGTTGGGGTAATACAATTTTCAACATCCAGATGACTTACAAATTTGGGGTTTCTACGATCATGTGAAAATTAACATTAAGGCAACATACAAAAAAGAAACTTACATAAATGAACTTGATGCATAAATTTACAGGTGTAAATGCAACACTTCTGCAACTCAAAGTTTCAGCCCCATAAAATTACTGGGAAACAATAGGATCAAGATTCAAGGCCTGAATGAGAGACGTTTCAAGCCCTGTAAGAACAAGTGGCAAGACAGAAAAGGACTTATGTAATACAATCCAACAGTGCTCCTCTTGAACACGTCATACTAGCTTTCAGAAGGGATATTTATGTAGGCTTTTTTTCCAGTTTGAGGCTAGAATGATGTGCATTTGCCTGTGCAAGTGTTTTTCCTCTCAAAGTCATGCAGCAAATGCTACGCATCCGCTTGCAGTCCATTTAGAAGCATTTACGGTGCACAATGGATGGGCCAGACTCATCATATTCTTGCTTGCTGATCCACATCTGCTGGAAGGTGGACAGGGAAGCCAAGATGGAACCTCCGATCCAGACAGAGTATTTACGCTCTGGCGGTGCAATAATCTGAGGAAAGATTGAATGTCAAATCTTAATAATAATCCTTGCATCACAGAAAATACTGAAAAGTGAATTGACTGCATATTTTGTGTATATAGTATATACATTATATATAGTAAAACAATTGCAAGCACTTTTACTCGGTTTGGAGAAAAACGTTAAGATGTTGATAACAAGTTTTACTAGACTCACCTTAACTTTCATGGTACTGGGTGCAAGGGATGTGATTTCTTTCTGCATCCTGTCAGCAATCCCAGGGTACATGGTGGTACCGCCAGACAGCACTGTGTTGGCATACAGATCTTTACGGATGTCGACATCACACTTCATGATGGAGTGGTATGTAGTCTCGTGGATACCACACGATTCCATACCTTGAAGATGAGCAATTTATACATTGAGATTTACTTTAAACTAACAGATGTGATCACCAACAAAGTTCAGCCATCTTGACAAAGGAAAGTTATTTGGGAGCTGGGATTACTTTTGATTAATATTAGTAGCATTAATGTGTATTCAGGATAGATTTAAAACAACATTTCCAGATCAGATGAATTTAGTTAACATACATGAAAGCTAGATTAATTAAGCCAATTTATAGCAGGTTTGCACTCACCCAAGAAAGAAGGCTGGAAGAGAGCCTCAGGACATCTGAACCGCTCATTTCCAATAGTGATGACCTGCCCATCAGGAAGCTCATAGCTCTTCTCCAGAGAAGAGGAGGAAGCAGCAGTGGCCATTTCTTGCTCAAACTCCAGTCCGACGTAGCACAGTTTTTCCTTGATGTCACGAACAATTTCCCTTTCTGCTGTAGTGGTGAATGAGTAGCCTCGTTCAGTCAAAATCTTCATGAGGTAGTCTGTCAGGTCACGACCAGCCATATCCAGACGCAGGATGGCGTGGGGTAGTGCATAACCCTCATAAATTGGCACAGTGTGAGAAACACCATCACCAGAGTCCATAACAATACCAGTGGTACGACCAGAGGCATACAGGGACAGTACTGCCTGGATGGCAACATACATGGCTGGAGTGTTGAAGGTCTCAAACATTATCTAAGAGGAAAAGAAAATATTTTAAGTCATGAATCAAATTTCCTACAGCGGGAACGTGCAATAACATGCTTGCATGCAGACGAATGATGGAAAAACAGGATGACAGGCAGAAAACACAAAAAGATGAAGGAGAAAGTAAAGAAACCTGGAGACGTCAGAGGGGGAAATGCGAAGCAGAAGAACATCCTGAAATATTGAAACAATCATTAATTTCAGGAAGATTTAAAAAAAAGTATGTGACTGCATTTGTACGAGAAGCTTTTTGAAAGAACTTACCTGGGTCATCTTTTCTCTGTTGGCTTTGGGGTTCAGGGGTGCTTCGGTGAGCAGGACAGGGTGTTCTTCTGGTGCAACACGAAGTTCATTGTAAAAGGTATGGTGCCAAATCTTCTCCATATCATCCCAGTTGGTGACAATACCGTGTTCAATAGGGTATTTCAGGGTCAGAATACCCCTCTTGCTTTGAGCTTCATCACCTACATAACTGTCCTTTTGACCCATTCCAACCATGACACCCTAGGGAGAACAGGCAGTAATTACTGGGTGTGTCCATTAAATTCGAGTATTGAAATATATTGAGAAGCTCCAAAATGTCTGTACAAATGTAACTAAACATTTCTAAAACATACCTGGTGTCTTGGACGCCCAACAATGGAAGGAAACACGGCACGGGGAGCATCATCTCCAGCAAAGCCAGCTTTGCACATACCAGAACCATTGTCAACGACAAGTGCTGCAATATCTTCATCTGCCATTTTTACTGAAAGTGAAGGGGGGAAAAAAAAATCAGCTTGCATCTTCAAGTGTAGTATTTATTACTCTTTGAAACATGCAAAACCGGCATGCAATCCTAAAACAGACACTTCATTCTTGCTTTATCTTAGAAAGAATCCAGGAACTCTATTCACTGTACAGACTCATTCAATTAGACCTTTGCCCACCTGTTTTGGATTTTAAAAAAACATTCTACAGTGCAATTGCTGTTAAATTCAAGTGAGTCCCAGGAATAAAGGAACATTTGTAACCCTAGCAGAAAACATTACTCTCACAAGGCATAGAAATCCAGTCCACTTTGATTCAGTAGCGAAAAAGCACACAATGGAGATTACTGAATCAATCTAAAGCATCTAATTTTCCGGTTGATGATAACCACACACCCCCTCTCCTTACTCCTTTCAGTCAGTCAGCCTAGAAGACTTTTAAGACATTCTCAGCCCCACCCAACTCCCCTCAGGGATAAGTGCTCCAATTTTTTTTAAAAAAAGGCTTCCATCATTCAAAGAGTGATCATCAGCTGCTCAACTATTGCATTTTTAATGTCAATCTACATGTAGGTCTGGATGGATTATCTGTAAGACCAGCTGCAAAGGCAAATGCGGAGGAAAATGTGAAGCCACACAGGACACTTGATCAGGTTTTTGTGAATGGCAGCGAAGTCAGCCAGGGTGGATAAATAACCAGCCTGAACGAAGAAGACAGATCTACCACTTGCATTCTCATTAGCAACTCGCAGTACCCTCGTCCACCACTCCCATCTCTCACCATCACCCACATTAGCCATCATTTCAGCAGCTGGACCAACATCTCTGCTGTTACTATTCGACTTACAACACTCCATCCCTTCCATGGCACACGTCTATCTCCTCTCCCCCATCCCATCCGACCCAAGTCTCCACCCACCACTTTAAGACAATTTTCTTACACACACAAAAAAAACCTCAAGGTAAGAAATAATAATCCTTGCATTTGATACAGCACCGTATCACTTCTTCCAGACATCTCAAGACACTTCTATAAAGTGAATTGTCTGTATGTTTTGCGGACAAAATACGCCGTAACGCCACCTTTCTTCCCCCCCGCCTCCTTCTTACTCTTTCCTTCCTCACCATCAGTTAATATTACTATTATTATCAGTTAATAAACGACTTAAATAAAAGATGAAAGCCTCTTTTTCTTCAAAACCCCCGCAAATTCACCGATACAGGCAAATAAAAAGCAAATGCACACACACACACACAAAGGAACCATCCACCTTGCCCTCCCCTCCTCTCACCCCCTTCCCTTCCTCCACCACAAACCATCACCTCAGGGGGTGGGGGTGGGGGGGGGGAAAATCACCTTTTCTATATGCCTTTTTTTTAAAAAAAAGAACATTAAAATACGAAGGTTGGAAAGTAACTAATAAGTTGCCCCACAACCGCACTGCAGAGACTGGTGCCTCTCTCGCTGTCAACCACAACAACAACAACAACAACAACGGTGGGGGCAGAAGGGGGGGGGGGGTGAGCCTCAGGAGGCCGGTCCCCGGTCGAGCGGGTTGGTGGGTGCGGGTGAGGGAGGGAGAGGGAAGGGAGGCGACAAGAGAGCGAAGGGATTTGAACACCAGCCCCCGAGGATCTCGAAGTCCATCCGCTCGCTTCGGCGATGGGGCGCCAGCGGAGCCGAAGAGGCGGAGCCGGTGAGGGACTCCGGGTACCGAAGATGGCGCCCCCGGTGCCCACCACAGTCAATGCGCTTCACAGTTTTACAGCTCCGCGGTGGGAGCCGTGGAACGTCTCGGAAGACGCGGTGAGGCGCTATGTCAAACGCAGGGGGTTTGATGGCTGTTGTCACTGTTTACCTGTCTGTTGGTCTCACACCGGCCTCTGCGCGAGCGCTGTGTCTCTCTCTCTCGCTCTGTGTGTGTGTCTCGAGCGTCCTCAACCTCGCGTTGTCCCGAGCGACTGCGACCGTTAGCGCTCGCGCCTCGCACTCTAATGCAAACAGCCCTGGCCCCGCCCCCGCCCGGCCGGCCGGGCTGCGCGCGCAAATCCGCGCGCGCGCACGCGCCGTGGGGGCGCGCCGCACATCACACCGCGCGCGCGCGCGCGCACACACGCACACACACACACACACCAATGCCCATGTACGGGCATCTTTTCACCGAGGCGCCACGTCATTGGCCGAGACCGCCGCCGCAGGTCCGCCACACGCTCCCTTTTCACCACACCCCCCCCACCCCACCCCACCCCAGACTGCGCACGGAAGGGCGCGCCGCGACACGTGACTCGCCCCTCCCCTCTGTTCCCCCCCCCCCCACACACACCCCTTCCCTCCCTTCAACGGCATATACTGGGCCCCGCAATGCGAATACGCAATACCGCCGCGTCCTAACCTGAGGGAGGCGAGGACCGGATAGGCATGGGACCCCGGCCTCTGAATATGCCATGCGCTTTCGCGTGTGTTTAAACGTGGCAGCGTTGACGCAAACAGGTTCTGGGGCCTCATGACCAGATTGGGAGCCCTGGACCTATGACCCTCAGTTGGAGTCCTGTAGCTCAGTGGTTAGAGCAACAACAACAACAACAAGATTCCATTTATAGAGCGCCTTTCACGTCAGGAGGACGTCCCGAGGCGCTGCACAGTTGGGTCAGGACCCGAGCATTGGGGGGAAATGGTCAGGGTGAGGGGAGGGAAGGGAGGGAGCGAGGAGGGGGAAGAGAGTCGAGAGGGGAGCTGAAGGCTCGGTCAAAGAGAAAGGTCTTGAGACTGGCCTTGAAGGAGGAGAGGGAGGAAGCGGCGAAGGCACTGGGGGATGGAGTTCCAGAGCCTCGGGGTTGAGAGGCTGAAGGCCCGGCCACCGATGGTAGGGCGATTGGGGCGGGGGACGTGGATCAGACCGGAGCCGGAGGAACGGAGGGTACGGGCAGGTAGGTAGGGGGATGGTAGGTCGGAGAGGTAGGAGGGAGCAAGGCCGTGAATGGCCTTGTAGGTGAGGATGAGGATCTTGAAATCAATCCTCTGGGGGATGGGGAGCCAGTGGAGGCGAGCGAGGGTGGGAGTGATGTGGTCCCGAAGCCTGGTGCGGGACAGTACACGAGCTGCAGAGTTCTGAATGACCTGCAGCTTGTGGAGGGAGGTGGCGGGAAGGCCGGCGAGGAGAGAGTTCCCATAGTCCAGCCTTGAGGTGACAAAGGTGTGAACCAGGGTTTCAGCAGCGTGAGGGGTGAGGTAATGCCGTAGTCTGGCGATGTTCCGGAGGTGATGGAAGGCAGTGCCAGTTGTGGTGCGGATGTGAGGGAGAAAGGACAGCTCAGGGTCGAACAAAACGCCGAGGTTCCTGACTGGCTTTGAGAGGTGGAGAGTGCAGCCTTGGATGCTGATGGTGTCGGCGCCTGAGGTGCGGAGGCGCTGACGCGAGCCAATCAGGAGGGCCTCGGTTTTTCGCACGTTGAGCTGAAGAAAGTTGTCTCTCGTCCAAGACTCGATGTCGGACAGGCAGGCTGTCAGGACATCGGGGGTCGTGGAGTTGAGAGTAGAGGAGGAAAGGTAGAGTTGGGTGTCATCCGCATACATGTGGAAGTTAACTCCATGTCTGCGGATGATGTCACCGAGGGGGAGCATATAGAGGGTGAAGAGGAGGGGACCGAGGACAGAGCCCTGAGGGACACCACATGAGACAGTACGGGGGGTGGAGGAGAAGCCATTCGTCGAGACAAAGTGAAGACGGTGAGAAAGGTACGACCTAAACCACTCAAGGACAGTGCCTTGAAGGTTGAGGTGGGAGGACAAGCGGTGGAGTAGGATAGCGTGGTCGACCGTATCGAATGCTGCCGATAGGTCGAGGAGGACGAGGAGGCAGAGGGAGCCCTGGTCACAGATGGTCAGGATATCATTGGTGACCTTGACCAGGGCAGTTTCTGTGCTATGGGCAGCACGGAAACCTGACTGAAGGGGTTCGAAAAGAGAATGGGTGGAAGGGAGCAGGTGGTTGGTTTCAGGGATAGGATGAGTTTGGTGACAGAGGGTGGGGAAACGGGTACAAAAGTGAGTAGGGGAGGATGGGTAGCAGTCGGAGTGTGGGAGTGAGGGGTGGGGGGTTGGTGGATGTTGGAGGGGAAGTGACCGCGGAGCGAATTCCCTTGATCTTGGATTCAAGGAAATCCAGCATCTCCTCGCAGTGAAGGTTGGAGGAGATGACCTGCGCGGGGTGGCGGGGGGACGGAGGAGTCGGGTTGTGGTGGAAAACAGTAGCCTGGGGTTGTTCTTCGCCTCCAGGATTATCCTGGAGTAGAAGGACGACTTGGCCGAGAGTGGAGCGGTAAATTTTGAGGAGGTCCAGACAGATTTGTCGGTGGACCGTTAGGCCAGATTTGACACAGGTGCGTTCAGCAGCCCGCACCTGGCTTTTCAGTGAGTGGAGGTGGGTGGTGTACCAGGGGGAGGAGCGGGAGTAGGAGACAGTGCGGGAAGTGATGGGGGCAAGAGTATCGAGTGTGGAGGAGAGGGTAGTGTGGAGGAGGGAGAGAGGAGAAGATGGGTCGGTGAGGGTTGAAGGACAGAGGGAGAGGAGTTCAGAGGACTCCAAGGCATCGGTTAGAGCACTCGCTTTGCAAGCGAGAGACCCGAGTTCAATTCCAGGCAGAGGGCGAAACCTTGGGCAAGTTTCCTTACTCTACACAGAGCCTAATAATAATCCCTCCAAAAAAACAAGAACAATAATAAATTGGTCATTTTCAATCCACGACTGTTTGTGGGACATTGCTGTGCGCAATTGGCTGCCGCGTTCGCCCATAAATATACAGGCAATTCACTTTACAGTGTGTTCTGGGAAGCGCTTTGGGACGTCCTCCCGACGTGAAAAGGGCTATATCAAATGCAAGGATTATTATTATTATTAACCCATATTCACAGCTATCACATTTCAGTTCAATACCCCCCGGGAGTGGTGGCAGACTGTGCACCAGTTCCCTTTCATGTGTTACACAAATGTTAAGAAGAACATTGGGAGAGAATGCAACATTTCAGAATCCCTGAAATAATTTGCGAAAGCAATTTATTTCTCCAATTTATTTCTCAGTGATTGCGGGCGTCTACAGTGATTGTAGTTGCTTTTTTTTTTGCCATGTGCAAATTATTCCTAACCCATTTAAATTCATGTTCCTTTTTTTCCCCCCAAGAAATGCTGGCCCTGAAAGCTGAGTATGGGCACGGCAGACAGAGGGATTGTTGCAAGAATGATCTATTTACCTTTGGGGAAAAACCTTGGGCAAGTTTCCTTATTCCACATGTCTAAGAGCCGGCACAAACTCAATGGGCCGAATGGCCTCTTTTTGTGCTGTATGATTCTATGATAATAATCCATCCAAAACAAAACAATAATAAATTGGTCATTTTCAAGCCACGACTGTTTGTGAGACACTGCTGTGCGCAATTGGCTGCCGCGTTTTGCCCACAAATATACAGTCAATTCACTTTACAGCATATTCCGTGAAGCACTTTGAGACGTCTAGAAATCGTGAAAAGTGCTATATCAAATGCAAGAATTATTATTATAGGTGGTGCACACGCTTTTTGAGACACTCCTTTTAAAACAGATGGGAGTCGCCCCTGTATAAGCCACATCCATGTATGCACCCACGCACACCCTAGTAAGGCTCACTTGCCACTTTCGGAAGGTGTGCACCATACACACACATGTTTACCTAAGATACGTGCATCAGACAAAGCTATTTGTTACCTTATTTGGACATTTTAAGGATTGGACACACCTTTTCTGTGCCTCACTGTTTAAAAATTTTTAAATACAAAGAAAGGTGGAAAAGAAAAGCGTAGAAAGAAAAAAAGTAATCCCAACGATATTCAAAGCACTACATCCACCGCAAGGCATCAGATAAACCCCTCCTGCCTCCAAAGCAATAATAATAATTCTCAACTTGGTGCATTTGATACGATAATTAAGCGCTCCGAGACGCTGCCCCGCGTAAAATGCACTATATAAATGCAAGTTGTTGTTGTTGATTGGTTAGGGTCACAAGAAAAAAATAGGTAAATAAAGAATTGTACTGAATTTCTCAAAGAATTCTCACTACATTCCTTGAGAATGGCTTTTATCTCAAGGGGCCTGGAATACAAAGGGGAAGAAATGATGCTTAGGTTGCATAGAGTGTTAGTCAGACCCCATCTGGAGTAGTGTATTCAGTTTTGGGCACTACACCTCAGGAAAAATATATTGGCCCTGGAGGGAGTGCAGCACAGGTTCACCAGAATGTTACCAGGCCTAAAGGGGTTAAGTTACTAGGAAAGGCTGTGTAAACTTGGATTGTATTCCCTTGAGTTTAGAAGGTTGAGGGGTGATTTGATTGAGTTATTTAAGATGATAAAGGGATTCAATAGGATAGATACAGAGAAGCTATTTCCTCTGGTGAGGAAACCAAAACAAGGGGCCACAGTCTTAAAATTAGAACCAGATCATTTAAGAGTGAAATCAGGAAGCATTTTTTCACTCAAAAGGTGATAGAAATTGGGAATTCTCTTCCCCAAAAGGCTGTGGATGCTGGATCCATCCACGCTTTCAAGAGTGAGGTTGATAGATTTTTGGTAGATCAGGGTATTACGGGATATGTGGAGAAAGCGGGAAATTAGAATTGAAAGGATTAGTTGAGGTACAGATCAGCCATGATCTAATTAAATGGCAGAACAGGCTCGAAGGGCTGAATGGCCTACTCCTGTTCCTATGTTCCTACAAGTAAACAAAAATTATGCCTAGAAAGTCATTTCATGTTGACACATTGCACAGGCAGCAGAAATGGACACATCCGATTATTGAAACATTAAAATGTTTTATTGTATATGCACAATTCTGTACCTCTGGATCTCTGTCTCCTTTTGTTAGTTGCTGCTTCTTCTGGTCATTTTGCCTAGAAAAGACACAGTCACTACATCTTATAGTAAAAAAAACTGAAATAATTTGAG